AATTATATTCAGAGCACATAATCTAGGCTGTTTATTGATAATTTATTTAGTTGATAATTTATTTAGTCATTGGACAGAGCTAGGAAATACTGAAATACTCTCATATATACTGCTTATATTGCTATTTCCGATGAACTTCAGAGTTAAGGGCTTGTAAGTTACTATTTTTAATTTTATGTTTATTATCTTTTATGCTGAAAATGATGGCTTCTAATATTACCATTAATTTATTATAAACAGCATGGTTACTGAAAGTTTCTTTTTCCTGCTTTGTCCTTAGAAAGTACATTATTTGGGCTGTATAAGAAACTTAATATTTATTGAAATCACTTGTAAAAGTTCCTCTCAATGTAGTTAAGCCATCAATTATGTGTTTGATTTTTTTTTTCTTTTAATTTTAAGGGATTTCTCTTTTATTTTGTTTTATAATATGAAACAAGGTACAGTAAGAGAAACAGAGCCTCATGGATACTTACATTAGCGTATATACTTAGGTAGAAAATAATACCCTACACCTATTATTTGAGCCTCTTTTTTTAAATTAATATATCCTGGACATGAATCCACAGCATATATTCCTCATTGCTTTTAGCAGTATAACATGCCATTGTATAATTGTATCATTTTTGTCTCATTTTCTGGTACTGGGGATTGAGCCCAGGGGTGCCCTCCCACCATATCTTCAGCCCTGTGTTTTATTTTAAGGCAATATCTTTTTAAATTGCCCTCCTGAATAGCTTTAATTACTGGAATATGCCACCTCACCTGGCCATACCATGTTATCCTAAGTGTCGATTGTGAACATTTCAATGCTTCTGCAGTCCTGTTACTACGAATAGTGCAGCTATCTAATACATTTGCGTATAAATGCCTCTCCTGGAAGATTTTTGTTATTTATGGTTGGGATGGATTCCTGGAAGTGGACTTCCTGGATAAAAGTTAAATATATGGGCAATTTTGTTGCTTGTTGCCACATTCCCCTCTACAAGGTGGTAAGTGCCACTTTGTAGTCCTGTGAGCAGGGTATGAAGGTATCCATTTTCCCAAAGCCTATCAAAAAATATTTTAAGTAGATCTATGTTGTAGAATCTTGACTTTGGCAAAAGTATGGTAAGAATTGAAAGGCATCCTAAAAGCAGAGATAATTTGGACCTTGGTATTAGTCTGAGAAATGAAGATCTTAACTAAGGGTTTGGAGTTACATTAAAGAAGTGTTAACAGTGTCTTCTAAGGAGTTAGTAACTTGGTAGAGGCATTGTCAGAGGAATTGGGGGTTATTGCTAAGTTTCTGAAATCATAAAGGGTTTCTTTCCCATATTACCTAGCATCAGTGTATTAGGAAGTGGCAGGCTTCCTTTGAGATGTGTTCAGTTTGAGTGTGTCTGAGAGATCTGAGTTGGAGGGGTTGTGTACATGAATCTGGAAAGTTCAAAAGTAGAGTACCTGTTAAGATATATGGAGATGAAGGTGCCCAAGGAAATTAACGTTGATATTACATATTTGAGCACTTGACATGCTCTTAGTTTTGTTTAAAAATGGTTTTATGGTATCTTCTGGGGTGTTTTTTTTTCCTCTTTCAGTCTGTTAATTGACCCAGCTTTATTTTTTTTTTCCTTTTGAGAGCTCACTTTGTAGCCCAGACCAGCCTCAAATTCTCAGCGATCCTCCTGCCTCAGCCTCCCGAGTGGGACTACAAGCGTGCGCCACCACATCCAACTTGACTAGAATTTTTATGACACATCTTTTACAGACTTCTTTTATGCATGTGTGCCCATACATAAAGAATGCATACACATTTCACTTCACAATTCTGTTTCCAAGTGGTATACATTTCTGATTAAATTCCCTTGCTTTCATGTATGGAATGATTTATTTTGCTTTATTTCCATATAAACATTTTACATATACATAATTTGAAAACATACAGGTTCTGTATCTTGTTCAAAGAATTTCCAGTCTGAGTATCTTATTTTGGCAAATTTAGGCAAATTGAGAGTTATTTACCTATTGAAACATGGCTTTTACTTTATTATTTTAAAAATATACAGAATGATAATGTCATAATGTCAAATATAACTTTCACATTATAGCTAAGAAAATAATCTTATTTAAAATAGAACAGTTTTTCTGTCTTATGACCTCAATATCTAGACAGAAATTGAATTCACAACTTCAGAATTAGAACAGCCTTAAAAGGTCTAGTTTAATGTCATTTAATATGTTGAAAAATGGTGATTTTTTTTTTTTTTGACAAAACCGTGTGAAACAACATGATTGTAGAAATACCAGGTGTTGGTATTTAGGTATGACTACTTCAAACGGATAGAAATAGGGAGAGAGAAGTGAAGCATGGACATGACTGATTTTCAGGTTCCTAATTTAAGGTGATGTCTGTGTAACAGTGATAAAATAGGAACAACCAATATTCATTCCATTTTGTTCTGTTTTAAGCATGTTAAAGATCTCATTTTAGTTCTTAGAAACACCAAAAGAAGTACAGGATAATATTCTTAAAGGGAAGAATATTAGGTCTGTTTTGGAGAGTGTATAGATATCTTCATGGTGCTACTACCCAGAACATTTTTTAAAGCTTATCTTAGATTCAGTATCAAGTGTCTTCTCTTTCCTGTCAGAACTATGTGAAGGTGCCATGGCTTTTCGAAGGATTAAAAATGCCCCAGGCCTGGTCGTGTATTGATTGTGTGAGCGGAGCCTGATTGGAAGGCTTGTCAGGGGGAGTCCTGGCACTAAGAATAAAAGGATCAAATAGTTGTAGAGATGCCCTGCCCATTCTAGATGCCTCACAGTGATGGAAACTTACAGACTTGGTGAGATTGGGAGATTAGAGATCTTGTGCTAAACTAATACCACTTACTGTAAAGGAATTGCCATAGGCTTGCATGGTCCCGTTTGGTTTGGAGGAACAGGTAATAGCTGCAGAAGGCGTTTCCAGCTCAGGCCCACTTTCATTCTGAACCTGACATTTTTGGTTGGGTGTTAACATTTTTTCATTCTTCAGTTTCTATCTTATTAATGCTATCAAACTAGGGCGCAATATTTAATTCTCATATTCTCTTGTAACAGAGGTTCTCAAATTTAAACATACATTAGACTCACAGAAAGGATTTATAAAAATAGATCACAGGGTCCCATTTCCGGAGTTTGTGACACAAGGTCTGAAGTGGAGCCCAAAAATGTGCATTTCTAACATCTCCAAGAGGTGCTAATGCTGTGGCTCTGCGGAGCCCTTTGAGAACCATTGCTGTAGCAGGTTGGCTTACCTCAGTAAATAGATTGTCTCATTTGAGAGGGGGAACCAGACGTTAACTCATTTACTTTGTGATACGTAAAAGGCAGCTGCAGGTCTTAATTTTATAGAAGCCAATGTGAACTGTTATTTGCTGTCTTTGGCCTGATGATACCAAGAAATTAGACCTAATATTGAAGAATGTTCTAAAACTTTAGAGAGAAATAAAGCCAAGATTCTGGTAGAATTCTTTCAAATGTACATTAAATTCTGGGTTTTTTGTCTTATTTTTAAACATTGGTAGGGACCTGGCTGTATTTAAGAACGTGAATTTTAAGCCTGCTGTTGTACATGCATGTAATCCCAGCACTGTGGGTGGCTAGGGCTGGAGAATTTCAAGTGTGAGCCCAGCCTGAGTGATAAAGACCCTGTGCCAAAGTACAAAAAGGCTATGTGAAGTCCCTGCATTCAGTCCTGAGTACTGAATGAAAGGTGGGGGGTGCGTGGTGGCAAATCTGTAATCTCACCTCTCAGGAGGCTGAGAGGCAGGATTGCCATGAGTTTGAGGACAGCCTGAATGTTATAGCAAGACCCTATCTCAGACACACACAACTTAGAATCTGTGTCCTTTTCTTCCTGGGCAAATGGAGGTTATGGAACATGTAGATTTGTGTTACTCTGCATAAAGCAAATGACACAAATAACTCCATGAGCTGGTTTCTTGATCCGGGAGAGGTCAATATTTAGTACTATTGAAAGAATTCTTAAATACTAGTTAAAACGGAAGAATTTTTGATGTTCTCTTGCTCCTCAACTAAAAGTGAGTGTTTTCCTAATACTTTAGTAAGAATTATTTTACTTTGGTAACTGAAATTCTCCATTACC